CCCCTCCCGCCCAGCGCCAGTGCGTGCGTGGTTGTATGTGTTACGAGACTCTGCTTCCTGCCTTAATTCCGCACCGCTGCCGTGTGGTTCGTAAGAGAAGCTGTGTTTCAGCATGAATGAAATGCCCGTGCATCCGTATTAATTCAGGCCTCTGTCAAGATAATTGTGCTAACTCCTGTAACGAGGCTTCTCGCTGAAGTGCTCTGTAATCCCCGTCGGCAGGGGCAGAGGAGGGTGCAATACTGCTGAGTCGGCGAGCAGCAGCGCTGATGTTAATCCTCTCTGTTTCTGCAGGCAAAGGAAAGAGAACTGGAACTGAAAAACACATGGTCGGAAAACAAGCTCAGCCGACGTCAGACTCAAGCCAAATACGGATTCTAACGCCTCTGTCCCAATTTTTGGCTCTCGTCCCAGGTGACCTACTGTGTCAGACTTCTCCTGGCCTTCTGGAGATCAGCCAGGCCCCGTGCAGAACGTGGTCTGCTCGGCGGGTGGGAGGATACCGCACTCCCCTGCCCGTCAGGAGAAAGGTTTAATGCAAACCGGTCCCGAAACTCCACCTGTAATCTTTCCCCTCCCTCCTTATAAACGATACCGTGGAAGGTTCAAATCACGTCTGACTGAGGACAGTCCCAAGGCGGGTGACGTGCCTGGTGCCAGGCTCGGAGCTGTTGTCCCGTAGGTGCAGGGGCTACACCTCCTTCAACCTAGCCTCGCCGCCGGAACCTTAGGCAGAGTCTCAATAAACTTCCGATTCCCACTTCCCTCCTTCCTTGGACTCGCTGTGCGTTGGGAGTGTAATTTTTCTTTCTAAAAGACAGTGAGTTTCAAGAGCAAGCTTGGCTTTTTCTTTTTTTTTTTCTCTTTTTATTTGAGACGTCCTCACGGCTCCTTCCTCACGTCCGAGGAAATCCAGCGCTCCTCGTGCGAATGATTTTGGCTTTTTTTTTTTTTTTTTTTCTTTCTTTCAGAAGGGTGGCTGAGTTAGTGGGTTTGTCCTTCCGCTCCGCCAGCCTGTTACGTCTTGAACCGTGCTGAGGGGAAACTTCTTTACAGGCCAGAGCTTGCAGTAGAGCTGAAACGCCCCGAGTGTGGAACGCACACAAAGCGCTGAGGATCTCTCGCCCAGCACGAGGCGCTGCTGAGGGCTTTTGGATAACAGCGAGCGATGTGTGTATGTACCTTTCTCTTCCTCTTTTTCCACCCCCCTCCCCCTTTCTTCCTCCTCCTCCTCCCCGTGACCAGGCTGCCCCCCAGACTTGTTGAACCGAGCATTCCCAGTGGCGCACGGCGCGGCGCAGCTGGCGGTGAGCTCGGCAAGCGAAGCTGCAGTGTTTCCTCTGAGCAGACACAGATGAAAGCTGCCAACTGTACATTTATTTTTTCTTTTCCCCAGCTTGTTTGTATCAATTCCGTTTCAATTAAGTGTTAACTTTCCCCTCCTTGGCTGGGAAGAGGCGACCGTGTCCGGCCTTAACTTTTTCGAATGAAATCTTTTTATGGAAAGTATTAGGTCTAGGCGATACGACTGCAAATCGTGCGCAGCCTTGCTGGCCAGATCCACGTATCTTTAGCCAAATCTCTGTGGCCTCACTTAATTTGTTGTTCACCAAAGCATGTGATGCCGAAGGGAACGGAGAGCTGGTCTGGTTCTTTGATTTACATTCCCGCCACTAAGGGTTCGATTGGTTGTAACCGCAGCTAAACCAGCTAATATTTGTTATTCCAGTTAGGAAAAACTCCCGAGAGGTTGTTTTTCTCCCATGCTACCTGTTAAAAACAAGCGAACAAACCCCCGTGAATGAAGTCTTTTCTTAGAATATTTTAAAATACTCTGATTTCTAGTTTAGTTCCCTGGATGTTTTAGTACTTTGCAGAGCCCATTTTGAGTATTTGAATGACCAGAATAAAGTTACTGTTGAGTAATTTATTCATATCTTATATGTACAGTGAAATCCTCGGAGAAGAGATTTGATAAAAGGAATAAACTTTTAAATGAACCGAACCACACCTGTTTCCATCGCGAGGTGCTCAGCTCCTTGCTCGAGGCATTGGGTTTCCTTTCTCCCCACCCCGGGAAGGCTGAAGCACCGTCGCCTGCCTTTCCGGAGCGGCTGCTTCGCTTTATTAGCGAAGAACGGACGCGATTGCGCAGCCGGTGACGAAACTCTTGTCCGAGGGACTTTGCTACGTGCAGCCCAACCTCGAGCCGTGGGTTGCGCTCACCGCTGTGGATTCGTCCCTTTTAAAAATGTCCCTGGCGCTCGGCAGCTCCCGGCGGCGCTGGAGGGCTTTGCTGCAGCTAAAACGGGGCAGGAGGCTCTGTCCCCTGGCAGACCGCGTGCTCCCAAACTCTTTTTCGGCGGCCTTGGCGGGATCGTGGAGTCCTGGAGCGAGCGGAGAGGCTGGCCCTCACCCCTTCCTGCTTTTCTTTCTCCACGTCGGTGTGTAATGGCTCATTTTTAGCACTAGAGGGGAGTTAGGAGGACAGGAATCGCGGCTGACGCGCACGCTCAGCCGTTTAAACAGTGACAAAACATAGGCTTGTGAAAAGCAAAAATATTTTCTGAGGTAAAAGAAAACAACTGCAACCCCACTGCCTCCCCTTTTCCCTCCCTGTCTCGAAGCTCCAACCCATCGGAGCGTGCGGCTTGGTTCTTCTCCTGCCCTTTCTGCTCCGTTTAAGGCCGGGTGCGCCCAATGACATCGGCTCAGCGTTGTTTCGGAAAAAATGATGGTGGGGCCAGGGTTTTGGATGCCACTGGGCAGCGCCAGGGTTGCTGTCACCAACCCACCAGCCCAATTTAATCCTCGGGGGTTGGCGCTAGCCCGTGGGGCTGAGAAAACAGGCAGGGCTCGGAGGTGTCGGCACCGGGCTCGTGATGTTTGGCGTGGCCCCGGCTGTGGTATCGCTCCGGCTCGGGGCCGATTTAATGCCGACTCTGGTTGCACCAGCCCTACCCAAAAACCCGGCTCTGGTTTTACTGTAATAGCCTTTTCCGCCCTCGTTCTATTAATAGAATTTTTTTTTTTTTTTTCTGAACGTGTTCGAAGATAAATTAAATCCGTTCCCTTCTTAACTGTCTCACAGGGATTGGGAAACAGGCTGCCGTGTCGGGAAGGGCGTGGGAAGTCCGGAGCGGAGCAGACTGGGAGCACTGGTGCTGCCAGGACGCTGGTTGTCTGCGGAGGGGCCAACCGTGGCCTCGGACCCCTCCTCCCGGGTCCAAGGGCTTCGAAGGAGCCTGAGCGCTTCCTTCTGTCTGGGGGTCGTGAGGCGGGAGCTGGGTCTTGTCCCGGACCTACCTGTGCTGGTGGCTCAGGGACAGTCTCTGGAAAGCTGCTCGTAAATGTTCTCGGGACCCTCCTGCCTGGCCGCGGCCACGGCTCGCTTTGTGGTGCTCATCCTCCGGCCATGAACGGGATCATTGAACTCCAGCGGAGGGTTCGGCATCGTGCCCTGGGGAAGTGGTGGGGAGAGGGGAAGGGAAACGGCCATGAGATTGTGCTGTGCCGGGTGGAGGTTCGACTTGAGAACCAGGACATGGTTGAAGGTTGGTTCCTCACCCTCCCAGCCCTCAACTTCACTCCTGCTTTGGCTGTGAATTGGGGACCGTCGCTCCAGCGTGGAGCCCTGGGCAGGGGACCCCCTTCTCCCCCCGGGACCCTGGTGTGGCGCAAACCCCGACCCCCCCCAGGCTCTACATCGAGGTCTCGCTGAGATGTCATGTTGGGACCGAGCTCTTGAGCAATGAGCAGCTCCGTGACATGACCTCCTACAGGGATCTCACCTCCGTGTCCGGGCTGGAGGCTCCTCTCTCCTTCCTCTCCATGGTGGGAGCTGCCGGGAGCCGCCGGTTCTTTGGGG